GGTTAGTGACAGCGATCGGCACGGCTCTCCCTGGTCCACACCTGTTCTGAGGAGGTTCTCTGTAAACCTGAATTAAGGAGTTGTTGCAATAGTTAATTATTGACTGTAGGCCCTGAGTCCTTCCTGAGGACCAAGGAGTATTTGGAAATTCTCAAAGTTTCCTCTAAGCTACTTTAGCTAAATGCCTGGGTTAAGTGTATTTGAAGAAGTGTTGCTGTAGGAGAGAGGTCTTGCTTACTTTTGGCAGTTCTGGAGAGTATAAAATCAAAGGGGAAGGGTGACGTAGAGTTGAACTCTAGGGAGTGTGTCTCCTCTAGAGGAACCTCTTGGCCTGTTTACTTGTCCGCTGAAGAGGGATGCTGCCCCTCTGCACAGAGAAACTGGGAATGTCAGTGTTTGAGGAGGAGAAAAGTATTGGAGCCATGATCAGATAAGCATGTAGGATGCTGTCAGAGTTTTCTAAGAAGCTGCTGTTGCCACATATCAGTGGTGAAGTATCTCCATGGAGGTGCATCTCACATACTTTTGTGTTCCCCATGTGACAACAGTGCTGTGTAGGTCTGAAGCCAGCTCTTCAAAACCTATTGACTGATACAGTGTGATTTGTCTTACTTAAGTTGGGACCAAACCACAAAAGAAGCAGCGGTGAGTAGGTGTCTGTGTACAGTTTAGCTTGAATGAATCAGACTGTTTCTCAGACTGTGTAAGTGCCAAAAGCAAACAAAAACATCTCATAAGTAGTAATTCTGTGCTTAGGCCATGGGAGTGTGATACGGTCCTTATTTAAATAGTCACAATTGAAAATTGGGCCCATTGCATACATGAACTGAGCTCAGACAGAGGGTGGTCATGTGAAGTTAAAGCTTTCCATGAGAACTAGAGAGGCCTAATATTATCTTGGCTGATATCTTTATTTGGGACAATTTAACATTTTAAGTTTATGTGCTAATAGTCAGTACTCTCAGTAACTCATAACCTCATTTTACTTTATTTTAATTTTTGCTGTACAAAAAGTTTGGAAAAGCCTGACACAGTAGCTACAATATAGCTTAGAAAGCTTATTCTCTTCTCAAACACATTTAATGAATCGAATTCTAGAAATACAGCATGAGTTAGTTTAATTTAAAACAAAAATTAACTAGGGAGCACGCTCCTTACATGCTTGTAACCTGGGGCCCTTGCATTGCAAACGTCGCACTTAACTTCATCTAGGTGAATAGACCTTGCATACAGTAGGACCCCGCAGTCTGGATAAAACCATTCACAGACCTTGGTATCTGTGAGACTGCAACCTCAAGCACAAGGGCTTGGTATCTCACTGTAGTATCCTCACAGCTGCGTACAAGAACAGGGCTGTCTAGGCAGGAGGAACTTGCCAAGTCATAGTTCTTGCATAATCAGGGATGCGAACCAAGAAACTGTGGCTGTTGGAAAGCAGGGCACTGTTTTAGAACAGTTCAGTGCTTTGTGGGGTTGCGTTTTGTCAAGAAACAAAGTGCAAATAGAAGGGCAGAGTTCAGGTTTGGTTTTTTTGAGGCTTTGTGAATAAATACCTTGGGAAGCCTCTGGTCCATATGGAAAACAAATCTGTCCAGTGTTTATTTTAACAACAGAAATAAAGCTTGCTGGGAGAAAGTACTCTTGATGAGGCCCTTGGATTTCTGTGCCTGTTTACTTTCTTCCTGGGGAAGGAAGCTAATAAAGAAACTAGCAACGTATTAATCCCAATAGTGCCAACAAGATGAGCTGTCATTAATGTCCGTTAACTCGTATTTTTCAGAAAAAGGTTAAACTGGCAACTCAATTAGAACTCAAGAAACCCTTTAAAAATGGTGCTTAGCTGTTTCTGTGGAATTCTGGGGAAGAGTTTGGTCATAGTTTCATGCCTTTGAACACGTGCCCTTAAATCTCAGTTACTAACCTGTACTTTTGTTCTTAGATAGATGTCCCTAGGACCTGGGGCTTTAAGAAAACTACCAGTTAGCATGAAACTAGGGATAAACTGGTTTTTCTTTCAAGACTTTTGGAGAGATTCTGTAGGCTGCATTAGTACCTCTCTTCTAGTTGTGTTGTTAAAATGCAGATTACATGTATTGATGTATGTTGGCAGTTTTTAACTTAAGTTGGGGTTTTTATGTCTATTACAGCTCAAGATGTCTAAAAAAATCCATGGAGGCTCTGTTGTGGAGATGCAAGGTGATGAAATGACACGAGTCATCTGGGAACTGATTAAAGAAAAGCTGATTTTTCCTTATGTAGATCTGGATTTGCACAGGTAACGGCTTTTTGTGACACATGGCTACTTTGAACTGCTGTTTGCATGTGTCATTAGGCATTAATCATGTCTAGCACTGAGAGCCTTATAGCTCCTCCTGCACTAGTGCAGAGAGGCTAACTAGTCCTTTTTATAGCAGTAAAATTGCCAGCAGATTCCTCTGGTTAACTTACCTAAGGGTCAACCCTCACTAGTATTCTGGAAAACATGGGCTCGTGCTGAAGGTATTTTGTCAAACTCTAGCAGCCCCTCTGGGGTTCCTCACAGCAGTAAGCAGTAAATCTTAATTGCGGGTTAGCTGTGCCTCTAAGGTCTCTCACGTACATGGTCTGTGTTTTTTATCTACTCTGTCTTGGCTTTCCAGCACCTGGACAGTCTGCATGGCTTCCTGTAGCCTAAGCAATTAGAAATGTGTGGTGTTTCAGCCACTCCCTGACTTGAAGCCTAGTATCTGTGGACTCTGAGCAGGTTTATGGTTTCTTGCCATCTCTGTCTAAAGATCTGCCCAGAGGGCAAAAGGGTAGTTGTAGGGCACAGACACTGCCCTGACATCTGTAAGTTTGAGCTTGGCTGCTGGCACTGTGAGATAGCTGTTGCAGTTATTCCCTAGCTTAGGCTGTGCTACTACACTCTTCTGGAAAAAACAAATATTAGCAGCTGGTGTGGCAAAAGGGACATGCTATCTACAGCATCTGGTCAAGCAGAACAAATTCTCTTAGCTTTCTAGCCACTGAGCTATAATTATTAGGGAAGTATCCAGATGCATTGCTCTTAGCCATGTGGACAGAGGCTTTCAGTGTTATCCACCATTATTAAACCCACAAGTCTGACCTCTTCCCCTACTCCTGGAGTCATTTGCATGCCACCTACATCGGACTTTCTGCTTGCTGGTGCTGAGAACCAAGCAAACAGGAACTCCACAGCATAATACATGCACACAGTCTGCAGAACATCCGTTTTCAGAGAGGGGTGAGAGGAGGGAAGGCAGACCCCTGGCTGAGCCAGCACAATGGCCAGATTCATGTACAGCTGGCTGTGCTTCAGGGCTGCCCCAGGCTGGTCACCCGTTGTTCTCCAAAATCTATTAAAACAGTGAGTGTGGGCAATGTGCTTCCTCTGACTGTTTGAGGGGAATAGTGGCCGTTTTGCTGCCAGACCAAATATTGTGGCTCCATTGTCAAAGCAGTTTTTGATTTGAAGCCTGATGTAGCTTCATATGCTCAGTATATTAAGAAAGGTCAGAACCCTCAGCACAAGAAGTTTGAAATAAAGGCCCATATTCATCTGGGGATTGTGCTGCTCCATACCATTAGAATCCCGGACTGAAAACTTTGATTGCCAGGAAGCTTAGAAGGGAAGGCAGAGGAGATACTGGCTATGTTCCATGCTGGCAAAGAGCCTCGGCCAAAAGCTGAAGCTGTCCTTTCGCCAACCTGCTACCTGCAACAGGAGTATCAGTATATGAGTATGTTTTCTTCCACTCCAGCAGCATTTGCTCTGGAAGAGGAATAACTGGAAGAGTGCTGGAACCACACTCACAGGCCACATAAGGGATCTGGTTTCTTTCCTGTTGGACATGAGTGAATGTCCTGAGCAGTTCTGACCATCTTTGTGGGTTCGTTACAGCTATGACTTGGGCATTGAGCATCGTGATGCCACAGATGATAAAGTAACTGTGGAAGCTGCTGAAGCCATTAAGAAGTACAACGTTGGCATAAAGTGTGCAACCATCACTCCTGATGAGAAGAGAGTGGAGGAGTTCAAGTTGAAGCAGATGTGGAAATCTCCCAATGGGACAATTAGAAACATCCTAGGTGGCACTGTCTTCAGGGAGGCTATCATCTGCAAGAACATTCCCCGGCTGGTGTCTGGATGGGAGAAACCCATTGTCATTGGTCGTCATGCTTATGGGGATCAAGTGAGTTGTTTCAGTGCTTACCCTTTTTATCTGAACAGCCTTAGTCCTGGCTGATACAGAGCTACAAAGATTTGGACATCCCTGTGCTGCTGCTTTATCCCTTGCATTCCACCTGGGACTAGGTACTTGCTAGCACTTTCTATGGCACCTGGTGAAGAGTGAGAGAGCCTAGTTCATGCCTCTATCCTGTAGCATAGCTGCAGTCAGGGTCTGTGCTTGGACTATTTAGGTCTGTACTTAAAACAGAGCATATAACTCCTCTAAGTTACTTTTCTTTGCCTCTGCAGAACCCTCTTCTCTGCATAGCAATGTTTACAAAATATCCTTTACGCTGCCCATCATCTTCCTTCTCAGAAGGATTGAGAAGCCTCAGAAGCCACAGGAGGTGGCGGATGTTGCTCAAAGCAAAAATGGATCCAAGTGAGGGATTTCTAGAAGTGGGCAAAGTTGCCTTCTGTGCCTGGGTGTGGTGGTGGTTGGGGTTTTTTTGTTGTTGTTTTGCTGTGTTGTTTTGTGGTTGTTGGTTTTTTTTCCTAAACTATCTCTGCTTCTTAAACTTACTTGCACAGCACTCCTGCAGAGTTGATATTCATACTGGGCACATCAGGCTGTGGTACCAAAGTAGGGAAACAGCCTTCAACAGAGCTCCCCTGGCAGAGGCAGTGCAAGGCCATGGAAGGCCCTGGTGTGGCACTCAGTGTGGTGGCCTTTGGGCAGCCCAGAGGACAAGAATCAACCATACTGTTTTCCTCTGGAAAATTATATGCTTTAAAGCAGCCAAACACTAAACAAAAGAAACGTTTTCCAGAAGAGCCAAGTGGACCTTCAAACTGAGAGCAAGTTATAAGACTAGCTGAGGGGGCAAGGTAAAATAATAAATGTCTAAGAGAAAAATAATTGCAGAGCCCTTATAGTAGAAAAGAATGAGGTTCAATGTCTGTAGCTGTACTGAATAATTGAAAAGGTCAAAACAATAATAGGAAACAATGGATTAAGGGGGAGGAACATGTAAAAGGCATGAGCAAGACAATTCTGTAACTTCAGAACAGCTCAGGGAACCAATTCCCTCAATAGCATGGAAAGTATGTGAACAAGGATTATTTCAAGGAAATGTAACCTTAAATAGTACTCTTCAGGACAGTTGCGAGGATGAGACACCATGTGAAAACTTCAAGTACATGTTGGCTTTTTTTGTGCCTCTGTGTCGCTCAGAGGAGCAAAATGTGTACCTGTTTACAGAATTCAAAGGACTTTCACTAGAGATTGGCCTTTCAAATGTCATATGATGGAGGCAAATAATGGCTTTTTAAGATGCTCTGTGATTCCCCCTTATTCATGAGATCAGTAGTTGTGACATGAATGGCTTTTTTTGAGGCAGGGATAGGAGCCTTGCTTCTCACAGACCACACAACTCTCTGGGAACTTTGAAGTTTAAGACTTCAGTGCATCTGCAATTATAAATACTCTTATAGGGCCCAAGAATCTGTAAGCTTTTTCACTTAAAGAGGAAGAACCTTTTTAAAACGGGCAGACTTAACTATTTGTCTTCCTAATATGCAGCAAAATAATCTGATGATCACGTGGCTGACTAAACAGAGCCTGTTCTTTGGGGTTTTTGGTGCAGCTGTTCATGCTTTTTTGCACCCTGCCCTCCCAAATGAGGCCTTGTGTTTCTATCCTTCTAATAGATAAAATCATCATTGCAATTTTTTCTTTTTTCTTTTTTCTTTTTTCTTTTTTTTTTTAACAGTACAGAGCAACTGATTTTGTGGTGCCTGGGCCTGGAAAAGTAGAGATGACCTATACTCCGGGAGATGGAGGCAAACCAGTCACATATCTGGTCCATAACTTTGAAAGTAGGTATTATCTCTAACACCGATACTTTTGGTTTAGTTCAGCCTTATGACCCGCTCTTGTAACACTTGATTTCTCTGGCATTCTTGCTGACAGGAGCCTGAATCTCAACTATCTCTTTTTGCACAGCCTTGCATCTGGAGTTCACCTGCTTCACTGCCAGGCCTAATCTGTTCGGTGACTGGTGAGCCTGTATTGGAGATGTCTGGCAGTTCCAGCTGCCAGTCTGATTTGCTGCTCTGCATTCCATCAGCGAGCAGGAAGCAGGGAGGTGCAAAGATGGCAGAGTAGCGCTGTTGCTCTGAGAGCTCTCCTCCCCACAGATAATTGCTGGGCCAGCATATCTCCCTAATGCATAAGGGCAGCTTGTCCTCTTGCTTTACTAATATGTTCAACCTTGTTGCTAAATCAAGAGACTTTATTAGGCAGCAGGATTGTATGATTGCAACAGTTCTGTGGTTTTGTTTGTTTTTTAACCTATCTGCAAATAAATATTTGCATAAAACTTAATAGTTGTCATATGTCAGCTGTGAAATCATGGCTGTGGAGGACACTGTCTTTCCAGCTGGTCATACCTTATTCTGTCCTTGACTCACAAAGACAGGCAGGGGCACAATGTGTATTTTAGCTGATAACAACAGGAATTTCATTGTCTGTTGATACCAAGTTTATGTGACCTTGCTATCTTGGCAAGCAGATAAACCTCCTCTGGCTTCCCCTCTTCATTCTGCATGCATGGCTATATAAAAACAACCACCTGGAGATAAAGACAAATAGATATTGGTAAAGAGTCTCTTTTCAAAAATGAAAAATTAATCTGTGGTGCTTTTTGAGCAATAATAATAAAGGTACTGTAAACAGAGAGGTGGTCATAGGAGGTGCTTAAAGTTGAGTACATGGTATCTACTTTTCACTAGAAACACAAAGAGTTGTGCTCTCAAGATGACAAAGCTTTCTTTGTGAAGCCCTAGACCCTATTTTCACCCACAGTCAACCTCTCTCGTGATCTGAATGCTGCTTTCCTCCAGGTGAGCTCAGCTGTACGTTTAAAGCACTTCCGTTCAGGCTGCTAACATGTCTGTGTCATGTGAGCATTGATGATTCCTCAGAACCTTGTCAGGACTTTTCTTTGCACCCAGATGACTGGCACGTTCTTCACACAACTTGCTGGAAGTGAGCCTGAGCAGGTGAAACAAAGCTGCAGGGTAGGCCAGACACGTGTGCTGAGAAGAGGCAGGAATGTTTGTGAGGGTTTGTTTCCCTGAATTAAGCAAAGCAGCCTCTGACTGCTCAAGTTAGTTCTGCAGTGCAGTCAAAGCCTGAAGGTACAAGGCACTTAAGATGGGAGCAAAGCCATTTCTAGCTTTGAATGAGACCTCTGTTCCAAACTGCTGCCTGCTGCTTTGATGGAAAAATACTGTTACTTACATGGCTAGTAGGAGTTCAAGCACACTCACCCCTGTCACAGCTTTGCTGCTTAGGCTGGATTAGGAAGAAACTCCTAAGGAGTATCAGATGACAATTAAATATTAAGATGTACCTAACCATAAACCAAAATCACCTTCCTGTTCACGTGTCACAGGACTGCTGGAGCTTTGAGCTGGTAGTGCAAAGTAAATCTTCTCCTGAAAGAACCAGCTTTAAATTGAGAACTATAGCAAGACACCTGGGGATAACACCAGCCTGCCTGCCTATGGTATGGGGAGACTGTCAAATTCTTAACCAAAATGAAGTCTAGTTGATTCCTGTTTGTTCTTCCTCCACTAACAGACTGTGGTGGTGTAGCTATGGGAATGTACAATCTTGACCAGTCTATCAGGGATTTTGCTCACAGTTCCTTCCAAATGGCGCTGTCTAAAGGCTGGCCCCTCTACATGAGCACCAAGAACACCATCCTGAAGAAATACGATGGCCGCTTTAAAGACATCTTCCAAGAGATCTATGACAGGTAACTAGGATAGTTGTGTACTTCCTACCGTAGTGCATAAGTCTGCAGCAGGAACATCCTCTTCAGCCTTGTGAGCTGCTACAGTTGATTCAACATTTTCAGACACTCGGCAGCACTTAGCGGGGCTCTGCACATTCCCTGTTGCAGTCTTCCTTGTCCTGCCAGACACAGTACTCTATGTTCAAAGCTCTGCTAAATGTGGCTGTGAAGTTCACATCTCCTAATGGAGTCACAGGTTTCCTGTGGTCTCCTGTGTGATTCAGAAACAGACTTGCAGTGGCCTAGCAAAGCAAGCAAGACCCAAAGAAAGAGGAAAGAGGATGTAAATTTAAGTTGGCTACTTTTTTTAATCTCTCTATGCACCTAACTATACACAAATACTTGCATAAATTATGTAAACCCTGTTTTTTATCTGTATTACAAGGTGCTCTGGTTTTTATTTTCCAGAGAATACAAGTCCCAGTTTGAAGCCAAAAAGATCTGGTATGAGCATAGGCTCATTGATGACATGGTTGCTCAGGCCCTGAAATCTGAAGGTGGCTTTGTCTGGGCCTGCAAGAACTACGATGGGGATGTGCAGTCTGACTCTGTCGCACAAGGTACGGGATTCCTATGCTACGCTGAAGTAGATTCAGTAGCAGTCTCTCGTGATTTTGAATTGTATCTTATGAAATGGCCCAGGAAATGGTGTTGGGTCTCAGAACTTACATTCAAGCCTGTGTCCAGTCACAGAGATGTAAAGCAGGCAAAGAATTTCTGATTTCACTTTTACAAGAAAATCCACTGAATGTTAACTGTGTTGTTGCATTTCTTTACTGGATGGCAGTTCTTACCAGTGTGATAACTGATGGGCTTTCCATTCTAATGTAATGGAAAGCCCCACACAGGTGGGATTCTGTCACTGACAGCTTCAGTTAAGCTGACTGGTGATGAGCATACTGGCAGGTGCTCTACAGATAAGTAAGAAAATCTTGAGGGCCTAAAGCTACCTGTCAGGTGTAAAGAGAGAGATTGGTACATTTAACTTTACATACTTGTAGTGCTTGATCAAAATCCTCTATAACCAAGCTGCCTGGTGCCAAAACAAATATGCATGCAGAAACCCACAGGACAAAGCGTGGCTTTATGTAGTATGCTCCTCTAAAGTAATGCCAGTAAACTGCCTCCCAAAGAACACGGCCGTGTGTTGAATTACTGGAAAAAAAAAAAAACTTTCGAAGACTGAGATCTCTGAAACCTACAGAGTTAGAAGTGATGTGAGTGTCCAGTTTTGCCAGCTCATGGTTCCTTTCCATTCGCTAGAGCAGGTGCTCTTGATATAAGGTAGATTTGTTTCCTGTCACCCTGTGGGGAAGATAGCAATTGGCAGCCCAGCAATACTTATTGAGGATTCTTTGTTCTCATACTCTGTCTTTTCAGTAAAAATCTGTCCAGCAAGTTAGGTGAGAATGCTAATTTTCTTGAAATGGTGCAGAATGTCTGCATACCTATATCTTGTGGTTCAGCA